CCGGCAGGTGTTGCCTCGCGGCGTGTCGGCCCCAGCGGAGACAAAAGCGGCTCAAGCTGTAGCCCCACTGGACTGCCCGCGGTGTGGGTTTGCCTGCAGCTTCCTCGGCGGGGCTTCGGATGCATCTTGGAGCCGGTCTGCACTTGGCTGAATCGTGGGAGCGGCCGAGGGCAAGAGACGCCCGCACCCGCCGGGGCGCTGCCAGGGCGCTGCCCTAATGGTGTTTTGCGCTCCAGAAATGGGAGAGTGGGGTTGGGCCGAGGCCGAACGAAGCGCAGAGAGTGGGAGGAACCTAGAGATGATGCCTTTGTCCCGACCCCAGAGTGTGAGGATCGGTGTAAAGTTACTCCTAGGAATGACTCAGCCTCCACCCGCCCCACTGATAGATTTGGGATGGGGTGTGCATGCGGATTTCACAACTTCCTTGGTGGAAACAAAAATACTTTAACCAACAGGCGAAATAATAGCTTCTAAGTGGAGTATATCTATATAGTTTCTAACACCGCCTGGTGGATGGGCTATGTGTTCACTGTTTATGGTTTCATAATCTAGGCTTTTCTGTTATGACTCCTTAAAGTGTGGTCATGCCATTAGGTGGTAGAGGCCTGGGTGTCAAGAAATACTAAGGTGTTGCTCACTGTTGGTAAAGTCACTGCGGGACATTCAGCTACGTGGGAATGTTTTCAACTCGACTGACAAAATAATTTACACCTGTTTTGCTAATCTCTCTGTGTTTGTGCTTGTGTGTGGGGTTAGGGTTTTTTGTGTTGATGGAGATTTCATCATTTAAAGGTTTGGAATACTAGCAATTTAGAAGACTCTTAAGTGTGCGTTCAATAAAGAAGTTATTTTATTTTCGTAGACGATATAGAGAGGGACCTTCCACAAAATATCTTGGGCCAAATATTTTTGTGAGAAGCAAAGGGACTTATGAAGGAGATGGATCATTTTGGTTTTTGGCTTATTTGAAGTGTAAGTGTACCATTGCTGCGGGTGTGAGATACTTTTTTCCTTTGTGTATTTAATGTTGTAACGGAATTTAGTCTGCATGAACATATTTTCTCAGTGACATTCCTGTTATATTTTTGAGCATTTGGTTCAAAACCCAGAGTTATGTCATGGATGCTTCAGGCACACAGTATGCATGATAAATTTCTGAAAGAGATTGGATATGGACCTAAGGCCATATTTTAAAAGTAATTTTTATTATCAATTTTGAATATGTTAATCAAATTGCGATATTTACAGGCCTAATCATGTTTCTGTTACTGAATGTCAGGGAAGCCAATGAAGCAGTACTCTTGGTCCTGGATAATAGTTTGGCTTTTGCTGACAAACACCGGGATGGAATGCATAGCAAGCCTGGTGGGAGGCTGACACAGGCAGATCTTAAGTTAGAGCTCAGCCTAGGCAGTTTAGCAAGGCTCTTGTCTAAAAAAGGAAAAAAAAAAAAAAAAAAAAAAGCAGCATGAGATGTGCTTCAGTGCAAAGGCCCTGGGTTCAATATGCAGAAGATCTGAGTACCTTCCACCCCTCAAGAGAAAGAATGCATAGCAGATTGACTTAGCAAATTAAATTCATAAAGGGCAAAAGAGCAGAGGACACAAGACCTCTGTTTTGTTTGGTTTCTGGTGCTGGGGATAGAATCCAGGGTCTTGCACATGCTAGTCAAGCACTTTACCGCTGAGCCACATCCCAATTTACATGACCTCTTGTTTTTTGTTTTTTTGTTTTTTGTACCCGGGAGACCTCTTGTTTTTGAAAGCCAATTGTAAGCTTTTCTTTGACCTCTCATTTAGAGATTATCTTTAAATTTTCTTCATCTTTAGCAATTATTTGAGGACTGATAACGCTTTTACTTAGCAATATATCAGTTGTGATTTTTCTTTTAAGAAAGTCCAGTTCAAAAAAATCTCATTCAGGTAGTTATATTCTCTAACCCCATTTACTCTTTGTTTTGTAGTCAGTAGTTGCCCAAGTAACAAGTGAAAATTTAGCAGTCCCTGCCCACATTTATGATCTTTTTATTAACATTGATTGTTGAACTGATTAACTGAGGAATACACAAATTTTTAAGAAGTTCTTGCTTTTAAAAAAGGAAAATGGGGACCACGGATTTAGCTCAGTGATGCTGAGTCTGCCTCGCAAGCGCAAGGTCCTGAGTTTGATCCCTGATACCAGGGGAAAAAAGCAGGGGGAGATAAGTCATACAAGAACAGTTATATTCTTATTGAAATTAGTATGAAGGAATTTGAGCTTTTATAGGGTGTAGAGAATATTTTGGAAAGAAAAAATATGCTGTGACATGGTTTTGAGACCCTGTCTCAAAATAAAAAAGTGCCAGGAACGTAGCTCAGTAATAGTGTTTATTGAGCATGCATGAGGCCCTAGGTTCAATCCCCAGTTCTGCAAGAATAAAACAAAACAATAGAAAAAATTACAATGTCCTAGGCCAATGGTGGTGAACCTATGGCATGTGTGCAGCAGTGGGCTGTTTGTACCATTGAAAGGTGTAAAAGACTGGCCATCATTGTCCCGGACATATCAGAGTTTTGACAGGTATTTATTGTGTACTTACTAGTACTGCTCTAGAAGGTAGGGATTCTAGGGAAAAAGAGTGAAGAGTAAAATATGATAATGCTAAGGAGAAAAATAAAGCAAGGAAGAGAAGATATGAAGTGCCTCAAAGGTGAGGGGAAGTTGAAACTTTACAAAAGATGACCAAAGAAAGTCAAGTACCTTAACCCTATATGTATAAAGGCACAGAGATGAGTTCTAGTAATAGCAGTATAGTTGAGAAGCACTTGAGCCATATGGTCCTGAAGTTTTACCTGAACCCCATACATGAGCTGACTGTCATGCTCTTAGCTTTTGCAGTGTGCCAATGAACTAGAGGGACTAAAGTGTTTGGGTGTGCATGTGTATATATTTGTGTGTCTAGGAAATGGTGAACCATTGGGGGTTCTAAAGAAGGTAAAATGACAAGTGTAGATTGATGTAGTATAACTGATAGACAGCTAGACAATCAGTTTGTGGAGTGCCAGATTGAAGAGTTTGTATTACTCTTTTAGATAAAAAATATACAGCTTATTTACCACATTTCTCTGACTCTTTCATTATTATAGACCTAGGAAACCTGATTTACCTGTAAAACTCAACACCTGTTGTCCAGGGTCCTGAGAGACTCTGTTCTTTTATAAAGTTAAAGCTCTGATAAATCAGTTTTGCAAGTGCATGCAGTACATGTGTGCCCACAAGCATTCATTCTTTCATTGGTTAATTTTGGCTTTCACAGTTTGAGTGACAGTGCCCTGAGGATTGGGGAATGCCACTTTTTCCACCCATGATTTTGTTCTTTTGAATTCTCACACTTCATTGACTTGTAATTAAGCTAAGAGATTCAAATGACCATTACTCATTTTCATTTTTGTTACTGATTTTTTTTTTTTTAAGTGTTGGAAATTGAACCCAGAACTGAGCTATATTCCCTGCCCCCACCATCTGGAGGCAGGGAGCGTCTCAGTCCCTAAGTTGCCCGTGCTGGCCTTAACTCTTGATCCTTCTGCCTCAGCCAGAGTTCTGGTATTACAGGTGTGTGCCCCCATGCCTTGCTTATTACTGCTTTTTTCCTTAATATTCCACATAATAATTGGTCAATAACTATCCCAGGAAATCTGTTGAAATACTATTTCAGTATCATACTAATGATATTTGCATGACAATTGGTAAGGTTTTACTGCACATATCAGATTAATGCATGCTTTTCTGATAGCTGTATGTCTGTAGATAGAATGAATTTCATATTTATAGGTAACTTTAATTTTTAAATTTTTAGTGTACATTGTAAAATAAAAACATGCAACTAAAAGTTTTCACTGAAGTCATGCATTTTATACAGTCTGTCTGTCTGCCCCCCCCCCACTTTCTGTACTGCGGATTACACCCAGTCTTCACACTGAGCTATACCCCCGCTCCCTGTGCTACCTCACCAGGTTACATCTACAGAATCTTTATGAGTGACAAGACAACGTAATGAATAACAAGTTTATATGTACTGATGTGGAAAGATTTTCATGTTATATAGTTCTAGCAAGATATATATATATTACGTTTCATTTTTATAAAACAAAATTATATAAATACAACAATTCCTGTATACTTTGGGAATAAATACAAAATATATACTCCAAACAGTTTTTTAAAGTATTTCTGTTCTGCTATTTTTGCCTTCCTGTCTTTGGCACTAATTTTCGAAATACTTTCTCCATCCTTTTGGTACTGTCCTTAGGTGAAACTGCTTGTCTAGTTTCAGACAAAGCTTACATTTAATAGATCCTGGACCTTTATGAAAAAGGTTGTCAGAGAATATGAGGGAAATGCCTGACCTACTCTTCTTTCCTTCATTTTCTTTTCCTCTTAGCAGAGAAAGGGTACTGTCAGATGGGAATACAACTGATTTGGAGAGTCTTGCACCCAGTTTTCAGTCCCCGGGCAACCTTGACACTACTTGTGCTAGACATATTTTCATTGATGCAGGAGCCAGTGAATACTTAGTGAAGTAGAGTTGCTAAGAATTGCAGTTTATAGAATTAGAAAGATGGCAAAATTATTTCAAATTGGCTTTTTTCTATGAAGCATTTAGTCTACTTCATATGGTGACATCCAGATATCACGGGTTCTATTCAACTT